CCCCAAAACCCCAAAACCCCAAAACCCCTCGTCAACATTGAGATTAAATGTTCATTTTTTTACTCAAATTTTTAAATATAATATATCTAAAATAAAATGATGTTAAAACCTTAGCTAACTTATACTATTACTGCAACTGATGCAATGCGTACTGACACTCCGTTTAATATTTTTTAGTTGAAAAGTTTTCTTAGACAGGATCATTAGAAAGAGACGGAAGAGTGATAGGAAGTGGCGACTCAATGCTTTCTCAAACAAAAAGACAAATCTTCAATGAGACAAATATGAATAAATGTAATGATTTCTATATCTAACGCCCTTAGCAAATGCTTTTCATCAACAGAGACCATCAGTGATGGGTGGCACTTTAGGCGCTGCAGGGGCTTCAATAGCATCAGCTGGGTCTAATGCCTCATAGATAACAGGAAGAAATAACAACTCTTTTAAGGGTATTTTGGATAATTTAGAGGTAATCAGTTATATTCTAAAAAGATCATTTCAAAGATTAAATTGAAAAATACTAACTTATTATCGATTATAGAGTCAAATACTTTAGTTAAGAAGTGAACTTGAGTTCAACAAAAAAGAGGTGTAGTTGCTGGGTTAGGATAAAGTATATGTGGAGCAGAATGCAGATCAAAGAACAAAAGAAATCTAAAAGTATTTATCTATTGAACTTCAAAGACTAGATGAGGGAATTCAAAAACACAGTACAAAACAAAAAGCTGAGAATTCCAGATTTTAAGCCCAGATTGGTACTTGTAAAGAAATCAGATAAGATTTAGATGAACAAATTTAGACAATTAAGGCTAGGATAATTAATGTGGAAAATCATCTCGGAGTTAATAAAAATTAGAATGGCAGTTTGATATCAAATCATTAAAAAGGTCATAGTCCTGCAAGAAGCTAATATTCATAATATAATTGATATCTATATTGTATAAATAATGCTTCTCATTAATTTACAACTTAATCTTAATCAATGGGGTTTTGGGGTTTTGGGGTTTTGGGG